AAAAGAAAGAAAGAAGAAATCTTTAACTTGAGTAAAATTGTATCATATGTGGTTAAGGACATTATAAAATGTACCAAAAGATTATCAATCTATCTTACCTGAATCTTTTTTTTTTTACCTGAATCTTTAAAACCAGGACAGCTATAATATAACATTTGTCTTGTATAAAGAGTAGTAGTAGATCACGACAGACATGGATTTACACAATTCCTATCCCAAGCCATACTATAAACCAACCAAGAAGCAAAGAAATTGGTCAAATCTCTGAGCTCACAAATACTCACAGACAAGCTTGAATCAACTCTTTGCTGAATAGACCTCTTATACTGACATCTGAACTAAACAGACTTCCCTGATAGCTTTTTGTGATGGTACATTTTCAAGATAATGCTTTGTATTATTGAAATTTCTTAAAAGATAGGGAATGACTATGAAAATGCAAACTTGACTATGTGTATCTAGCATTGTGATGAGTAGAAGTGAAAAGTAGCAAAGAAGTTGTGGGCAGAAAACAGACATGTTGTTGAAGATATTTTTTTAAACTCTCCGTTGCAGATGCGAGCCCATGTCAACTCCTGGTGGTTCGCTTTTCAAAAGAACATAGAGAGATTCCTTCATGCTATTATGCCATCTACGTTTGTGCCTCTCTATACCATGGTAAGGTCTGGACTCAAGATGTTTGCTCATCTTAAACTTCCGTTTAGACATTAAAGAATATATAAGAATCTTTTTTAAACTTTCCTCTAGGTAACCTTTTCCAGAATAAGATACCACGAGGCGGTACTGCACTGGCATTGGCAAAAAAAGGTTGGAACAAATTACACTATTTAAAAAATCTAGTATGTTGACGTGCCATTCTGCTATGGTTATATTTATTTCAGAATAAAGAAATGATAGGACTGATATAAATGCTTGCCTTCCAAATAAAATCTGTCCTGAGCGTGCAGAGAGAGTACAGAGTCTACCAAACAACACATGAAAAATCAGCAGAGAAAGAGCCTATGAAGAGAAAAAAACTTTGCAAAAGAAATAAGGATAATATTTCTCAGCCTTTCACTTTATTTCAGCAGTGCGATTCATTCTTGAATTTTATGTCATACAATATTCTTATTGATACATAAACTTGGACAGAACTACAAGGGGCTGGCAAGAGAGCTCAGTGGTCTAAAGCGCCTGCTTAGGCAAGCTTAGCAAGTGCGCAGGGACCGCAGTTTGATCCCCAGCATCACATGCCATGCCAGCCCTGACCCCAGAGCTAGCCACACACACAAAAGAAAACCTTGGACAGAGCTGAAACACAATGTTATGACACATTCATGTTGAGTTGCTGACCCAGATGCACCACTCAGACACCATCAGATTCCTGAACATCCATCCACTTGGAGAATTTATTTGTTCATTCACTCAAGAACTAGCTTTACTTAATGCATAAACCCTGAGCTAAGCATAGTGGTGAATGATATGAAATCCCTACTCTTCGCATAGTTCAGAAGGTCAGGGTCAATGGACAGCTGCTGTGTGAGGGATTCACTGGCCATGGAGAGAACAGGAGTGGGCCAGACTGGTGAAGGTTGAAGAAACAGGAGCAACATGTCAGAGTGGGAATCTGTGAACCCCAAAGACAGCACATAGGTGTGAGTGGCCAGAGGGGGAGCCAGAGAGCTAAGTAGGGCCTTAAACCTTTTCAATACTAGCTTAAGAAAAGCAGGGGGGTGGAGGTGGGGGTTGCCCCTTAGCTCAGTTCTTTAAGTGGCTGCTTCAACAAAGCAGTCAGGCTCAGGTAGCTGTGCTTCAATCCCTACAACTCAAGCCAGCCAAACCTGCCCAGAAGGCTTCGAAAAAAAAAAGAAAAGCAGAGGGACTACAGCATTTTAGAAAAAGTACTTTAATGTGGAGAATGGATTGAAAGCCTTCAAAAGATATCTATTAGAGATGAATAAAATATGGTTCCTGATCTCCAAGACATAAGAAAATAAAAAGAGAAAAGTGACCGCCACATTTAGAAGGTAGAACAATAAGTATAATGATAAAAATCAAAGGTTTTGCAACTTCAGGTTAAAGAACTCAGAGGGGACCTGGGACATAGCTCAGTAGCACAGTACTTCCCTGCAAAGCACAAGGTCCTGACTTTGATTCTCAGTTCAAAAGCGAAACAAAACAAACACCTAAGAGGAAATTATATACTCATTTGGGGTTAAGAATGAAGTCTATTTCAAGATTTTAATGTCTGGATAAATGAGAGTTATTTCTGTCCTCATAGGTAATAAAACAAGGACTTTTTGTCTTCGGATCTCTGGTAGCCACTGGTACCGCCTACCTACTTGTGCACTACATGTCACCAAAACCTCTGGACTACTTAAGAAGACCATGGAAGTGGGGCTCCTTACTTCCAGGACGTGGGACACATCTCTCTGAAAACTCCAGGGAGTTACTAGAAAAAACTTCCTATTTCCTTAGCCAGTGATATCAGATCCTAAAGTAGCAAATGTTTGATTTGCCTGGGCAAAGGAAGGACTAAACAAGTGTTTCTATTGCAAGATTTAATTCACTATTGGAAGATAGTTGGCAGCATGTAAGTAAATTAATGTGGAGGCTTTCTATGTGTCAGTTGTAATTATTGGGGGGGAAATCCCAACACTTTTTAAGTTTTGGGACCGGCCAAATAGCTCAGCGGATTGAAGCGCCTGCAAACAGGCGCAAGGACTGAAGGGTTTGATTCCCAGGCCTGCCATGTCGGCCCCGCCCCTGGAATGCACTGAGATGGCAATTGAGACTGGGTGTGGTGGCACACGCCTGTAATCCCAGCTCTTGGGAGGTTGTAAACAGGCAGATCACTATGAGTCAGATACAGTAATGAGACCCTGAACACCCTGTAGACCCTTCCCTAAAATAAAAAAATAAAAAAGTTTCAACGCATAGCTTCCCCATCACATTTTGCAACATCAGGCTGGATCATTCTAAATTTTCAAAAGCGATGACTAAGATCTCTTTCACTTCTCAAAAACTAAGGCCTCAGAAGCCTCCCGGAAGGCACTGCTCACACTTTTTCCTTAAAAAAAAAAAAAGAGACCCACTATGGGATTAACAATATTTGGGGCTAAAAAAATCACAGCTTGTCTAACTACATTAACTATATTTTTCATCACATGGATGGAGCGTGCTTTCTCACAGCGCAGAGTCACTTGATACAACCAGAAGTGCTCATGAGGGATTAGAAATTCCAAAGAGTTACCCACTGAATCTGTTTTGTTTCCCAGACCCCTTAAATGCCAGTATGACTTTTTTTCTTTTCTTCCCAGTATGACTTTCTGAATGTATGAAAAGGCCCTTCAAGCCATAGTAGATGTAAGCTGAGAAAGGATTTTATTCATAAATTAAGTATCTACATAAACAAGAGAGTGGAAAGGAAACAAGGGGAGATAGCCTTTATAGAAATATGAAGCTGTATTTTATTCCTTTTCAGACCCTCAGAAACAATTTACTAACATTTTAAATTACACACTATGACAGAATCAGAAGAGAACATTTTAAAAGTGTATTGAGTATATTTTCTTTGATTCTTCCTTCTTCAGTAGGTCAACCAAGTCACTTGTAGAAGTCCCTCATCCATGAGTAATATAAAGGGTAACACTTGAAAGAAATTTATCTAAGGAATTAAAAATTGGGTAATGACATAAAATAATTCAAGGTGTCTATTCAATGTCAAAAATATCCTTGAATCCTAATAAGCCATGTTTGCTGTGTAAAGGAAGAGAAATAGTATTTCCTTTTAGAAATCCTTAGGTTTGGGGCTGGGAAGATGGCTCAGTGGAATAAGCACTTCCTGGCAAGCGCACGGGTCTGAGTTCAATCCCCGGTTCTGCCAAAAAAAAAAAAGAAATCCTTAGGTTCATTGACTGGGATTACTATATTACTATAACAAAAGACAAGAGACTACCAAGGAAAAAACAAAAACAAATAGTTTATTACATGTGTATTCCACAGGGAAGATACCCACAGAATGAGTAAATCTCAAAAAGCTGGCTTAGCATCCTCCACAAAGAACTGTAAGTTTTAGAGAAGTGCCAAGACACAGAGAATGGACTGAGACTGAGGGCAGCAATGGGTAGGAAGGGAAATGGTTGGGAGTTGGCTACGCAGAGTCCTCTTGTGCTCTCTGCAGACTGACAAGTGTCTAAAGTTATCTTTGGTGAGCAACTTTGTTTTTTATGGCCGAAAAGAAAAAGGAACACATTTGTAAAGTTGGGTCCTGCTTTTAGGCCAATAAGGGGAAGAAGCAAAAAGCTTTCCTTCTATCACTTCTTCTCAATTGTTTTCAGCTCAAAATAATCAGTATGGAAAACAGAGCATGTTTGGAGGTAGCACGTTCTGCTTTCTTGTAAGTTCAAACAGTAACTAATGGGAAAAAATAGGCCTCTTCATTAACACCAATTAATGGCCTGACAATGAGGAGTTAAGGCTAATATACTTTAGGAATACACTCAATTCTCATTTTTATACCTCTTCCAAGTAAGTATGTTTACTTGAACCCCTTTTCTAACTCCAGAACTCCTGGTAAATTGGGGGAACTTATTACAAGGAAAGGGTAATCCTGCCATGCTTATGTTTGAAATGAAAGAGATGGAGATAGTTGTCTGCCATCAAAATCATCTTCATGGTGGGCAGTCTCATACTACTACGTACCTAACCATAGGCCATGACTGCCCTGACATCATCGAATTCTTTCTCTTTGCTATGATTCTCCTAGTAGTATATTCTGGAATTTATTCAGCAGCTTGGTAGTCTGAAACTCCTCTTCATTTTACATATATATAGTTACAGATCAAGGTAGGGAATTTATTTTTAATCCTGGAATTTATCTCATGGTAACTTCAATTTGTTCAAGCAGATGACATGACTGTAAATAGGACCCAACACTGCAGAGAATTAAAGATAGTCTAGCTATTTCATACATGTGTTTGAGACAAAGTTATTTTTACAATAAAATGTTTTCAAGAAAAATGTATCATGTGCTTTGGCAAATATAGTCATTCAAAAATACATCTGAAATGGAAATTCTAACACGTAAGAAGTTGATGGTGCCAGATGCCCATCTTGTGCCATAGTGGGGTTTTGTTACAGAAAGCACCCATTGAATTAAAAGAATTTGTCTTGTTCAGATTCTTCTTGAGGCCAGACAGCATGCAGGCAATTCAGATTTTTTGCTGGACTGTAAAAGTTCTGTTGATACTACATAGAATGCAGGTTCCAGAACAATCCTTATAATTGAAGTTCAAATGTGACATCCAATCTAAGGCCCAGTCTTGCATTCCTACAAAGGACGAACTTGGATTGTATCAACCTTGGACCCACTGGTTCTATCACTATCATCAACAGATAGTGATTCATCACTCGTGATGATAAAAACAATGGAAGAAGAATTAAAAGTCACTTTCTTCTTTGGCCTGTCCCCATCTTTTTGTGACATCACAATGGGTCTGATCTGCATTTCACTCCCAACTGCTGGTAGGTCTTTAGCAGGCTGCTGACATCTCAGCAGTCGGAAACAGAGGAGTTGCAAGAGGGATCTTCGAAACTGGGCAGAGAAGAAAAGGTAAAGTTGATTATTGCTTAAAAATTGGGTCCTTAATCTGGATTAATGTTGAATAAAATGAGGTGAGTTTAATTTGGATTTTTAAAAAAAATTTGGATTGTTTTTGTTAGCTGATACAGGGCAAAATTTATACTAATGTTAGCTTAGACTGATCTAAATTGAAGCAGAAATCCAGACCTCACTGCAGACATTTTGTTCAATAAAGTTGTAGCTATTCTGTTCTGTCATTGAACTCAGCTAAATCATATGATTTGTCATCAAATCGAAACTTCTGTGAATGGGTTAAAAGCAACTTTGCTAATATGACTATGCTCACCACAAGATGCCCACTGTATCATAACTTTAAGCAAAAGCTCATCTCATTGTTGTAACTTCTGTTTGCTACCCTGTAAAAAAAAGACACTCTATAATCAGGACCTCAGACTTTGGACATTAATTTATTGATGCTAGCAGACCCCCCTCCCGTGGGGTCTGCTAGCATCAATAAAATTTCCTTGCTTTTCTGGAGCTCCTGGCTACTACTGATTCAATTTTTCCCACAACAAAATCACTCTAGAGTTTTACATCTGATTTACTTTAATTTTTACTAATTAGACCATATAGGACTATTTTAATACCTTAAAGCTCCCTACTTTCAATTTGTGTGTACCATCTATGAGAAAAGATTGATCTGTTTAAGGAATTGTCAACACATATTCAGTCCACAAATACTGAGTAACTACAAAGTGACAGCCACTGAGCTGTAATCTAGAGGTATTGCAAGCAACAAAGGCGAGTCTGTTCTGGCAGAATTTATGGACTGGTGTGCTTATGGGTGTTCTTTTAAGTAAGAGAAGAATTTTTTTCTACTAAAATTATAACTTGGGGAAAGATACTACAGTGGAGAATTCTAGTTTTGTTTTTTTTTTTTTTAAATGTAATTCTGTGTATTGCAGGCACTACTACACTAACCAGTTCTCAGTCCTTTCCAAGGTCTTCCCTCTTATCTTCCCCTTCTCCAAGAAATTTGATTGCAAAGGTCTGAAGATGAGAATATCATGAAATGGAAGGGATGCTGGTTCCATAAAGAGTGTGTGAAATAGATACTGTCTTCTCCATCACATACATTAGGCTGTAAACTCCAAGAGCAAGAAACTCTGTGCTAATCCACTCAATGGTGGACTTGCTATATGTTACAGTAGTATATTTACTATGGCTAACACCAGATATAAATAAAAAGTTAATTTCTTATCCTTTTTGTTTAATGCAAAATAAATTTGAATATGGATTTGTTGGTTTGGGTTTTTTTTGTATTTTTTTAATGGAACGGTCTAGGGGTGTTCAGGGTCTCATTACTAGATCAGACTCATAGTGATTCTCCTGTTTACAGCCTCTCAAGAGCTGAGATTATAGGCGTGTGCCACCACACCCAGTCTCAGTTGCCATCTCAGTGCTCCCCAGGGGCAGGGCCAGCACAGCAGGCCCAGGGATTGAACCCTGGCCCATGCACCTGCTTGCAGGCACTTTAATCCGCTGAGCTATTTGGCTGGCCCTGAATATGAGCTTTTATCCAAATTTTAAAAATTAATACGGGCCAGGGAGATAGCTCAGTAGAATACGTGCCTGCATGGCAAGTGCAGGGTTCTGAGTTCAATCCCTGGTACCGCTAAATAAATAAATAAAATAAATAAATAAATAAATAAATATTACATTGACTTTTGGTGTTTTTGATATTCTTTGCCAATTATATGTAAGTTAGAATTTACCAAATATTAACATTTTTTTCAGTGCTGAAGACTGAACCTAGGGTTTTGTGCATGCCAAGCAAGCCATAAGTATCCTCAGCTCCTATATTCACATTTGAATATTTATTTGAATATTCATCACCAGACCATTGTTTGGTGTATTAGGTTAAGTGCTAAAGATACATGTGTCATTATACAGGTTAAAGTATGTTATATCAGATTTAATGTTTTGTATATCAATGGTAAGTTTCTGTGGGTAAGAACTATTGTCTTGTTTTTGTGTATTTGTTGTATTTTTCAGACTTTTTTATTTAAAAACATTGTTTGAAACAGAAATAGCAGGCCCATGTGGGAGCTTGTTAGAACTGCAGAATATTGGATACCCAGACTTACTGAATCAAAATATGCATATTTTTACAATATTTCCAGATGTGACATATGCATAATTGTTTATAAGGATTTATTTTTACAAAAAGGATTTGTAGTCATTGGCTAAAAAAAAAAAAAAAAAAGCAAACAAATGGCTAGAAAATATATTTAGAGGCTGGCCAGATAGCTCAGTGGATTAAAGCACCTGCTTAGGCAGACGCAGGGGCTGGGGTTGGATCCCTGGCATGCTGAGTTGCCACACCCCTAGGGCTCCCTGAGACAGCTATTGAGACTGGGCGTGGTGGTGTGCACCTGTAACCCCAGCACTTCGGGAGGCTAAAAACAGGAGAATCACTACAAGTCCAATCTATGTAGTAAGACCCCGTAGACCCTGTCCTAAATACATTTTTTAAAAAAAATTCCTTTGAAAATATATTTAAATTTTGCGTGTTGGAGTCTGGTCCTCAAAATCAAACAAACTTAATTTTGGTTAGACATTGGCTGTGTCATGCAAATAACTCAGAACAATGACTAGCAGTATTTCTAAACTCAAAGGAGAAGTTAGGAGCTTTGGCTTTGAAGACTCAAGTGAACTAGCTTCAAGTCCTAGCCCCAGTGCTTTCTGAGTCGGGCAAGTTATCTCCCTAGAATATACTTGAAAACCTATAAATAAAGGAATAATATTAGTACCTATTTCATGGCACAGCTCTATAAAGATACTAGGTGCAATCTGCATAGTACAGTAAGAATTTTAAACATTAATACTGTAATTATTAAGTAACTCATTATTAGTAGTAGATAACTTTTGATTAATTAAATAGTAATTTTAATAGAATTTCACTTACTAAGGACAAATCTATTGGCAGATCTTAGTAATATTACTAGTCTTTTGGCAAAATACTACTACATTTCTTCCTAATCCTTTTACTTTCCTATAAGGTTATTCATTTGGGTTTTCATCATTGAAACTGTTCTGAATTATCTCTACAAAATTATTTTCCAACTCCTCCCAAGGTGAAAACAACTGCTTAATTGTAACATTTACCTTTCTGATCATGAAGACATAAATAACAGGATTGTACACAGTGCTGGATTTAGCAAACAGATAAGAAACTATCGATATTGTTGGAGTGACCCGGTATCTGTGACCATTAACGACCAAGAAACAGATCACAATATAAGGCATCCAGCAGACCAGGAAGATGAAGACCATCAAAAAACACATTTTGGCCACTTTGTTCTCATATCTTAAAATCTTCATCACTTGAATTGTCTGAAGGTCTTCAACACAACGAAGCTGCAGCACAGAGAGAGAAAAAGATTGGAGTTGAAAAATGAAAGAACTATTTTCTTTTGGTTTTTTGATACTCAACCAGGCCCTACCTGAGTGGGGAAAGATGGGAAAGGAAGCTTGGGAAGCTGGCTTCTGATTCGAACATGCAGCTAGGCCCAGCCTTCATCATTCTGAGCCTCAGGATCCTGAACTGGAATGTGTTATGACTGAACTGAATAGCCTCTTAGATCTTTCAGTAATTAATGTTTTTCTAACTTACTTAATAAGGATGAACTAAATTACTTTACTTGAATCTTCAAGACACCCTGAAAGAGTCATGATAAAAATGATAACAATTTCTCCATGATCCAGGGAACTCTTTCCAGAGCCCTAATCTACAGATTCTCACACCAGCACATAAACTCCTAAATCAGGAGTTCTATGTAGTTAAGCCTACAGCTGTCCTGAAGAGAACATAATCCCCAAATGAGCTCTTGCTGGAAACCACTGTGTCTTTCAGTTTCCTGCTAATGACTGCCACAGTGGAATCTGATGGGGTGTTTGTGGTTGGTTTCCTTAGGAGAGCATTTATGGAGGATAGCACTTGGTAAAACCCATTTGTCTGAAATCAGCACATCTAATTTGTTTTCATGAAAGGTACTGAGAAATAATACTATATAGTTTTAAAGTTCTTTAAAATTCTCATAGAAGAGGTTCTTTTTATATTCCTCTGTTATCATAAATGTGTTTTAAAGGTGAAGAAAATAACACTTTTGCACAACAAAATAGATTCTGAAATAAAAATGACTATTTCTGAGCACTGTAAAGTCCTATACTAATTCTGCTACCAAAATACAAAAGCTCTATGTATTCATTTTTTAAAGTTATCTGGTATACTCTTGATAAATAGTACTAATAATTTCAAATTGGAAAATGCATTATATTTGAATACATTTATAATTCTTAATGATGCATTCTTTAAGATATATTATTTAGAATGTACCTTTTGTTGGAAAAAAAGAATGGATCTTTAAGCATCATAAAAGAGGAAATTTTTCTAAAGGAATTAATTAGAACACGTTTACAGTAGTTAAAAATATATTTGAATAGGCATCCCTAAATTATTGGTTATTATCTAATACTATAGTTAAGAAACCATATTATTAAAATTATATATTCAGATTGAAAAAGAAGAGGGAAATACAAAAAGTTTAAGTGCTTAGTTTCTTTAAGCATAGAGGCCAGGCATATAGCTCAGTGGCATAAGAGCCTGCCTGGTAAGCACAAGGTCCTAAGTTTGATTCCTGGTGCCAAAAAAAAAAGAATAGAATGTGTGTGAGGGAAATGAGTACTAACTCATATTATTATTATCCATATGTGCAATCAATTCTATGTTTTTTGCAATTCCATTTTTAAAAAACTTATTTTACTTATTGTGATAGGCTATTACTCTCTTTTCAGGACATCAGTTTGAAGCACCTCCCCTCAGTTTTTAGAGAGGTAAAAGCTCTACTTCGGAAATAGAAGATTTGCATTCATATTCCAGACTTACTACCTTTGATCCAGCAATATAATGAGCAATTACCTACTCTAGAAGTAATGATGGGATGGAGATTAAAACAAATGTCCCATTAGATTTAACAGAAGCAAGGGGCCTGCCCCTTAGCTCAACTGTTTAAGAGCCTGCTGAAAAAAAGCAGTCAGGTTCAGGATGCTGTGGTTCCATCCCCAGATCCCCAAGCCAAAGCAGACCTGCCCTGAAGGCAGGCTGAGCCTGACCCAAAAAAAAAAAAAAAAGATTTAACAGAAGCTGATTTCCTTTGGGCAATTGTTTTTGAAATTAAATATTTATATTTGAACTCTACTTGAAACTGCCATGTACATTTATGTGCTTTTATGTTTCCATAGGATATGTGAAGTCATCATTTTTTACTCTTCAGAATTTCAACTGACCAGTGTATAACCACACCTCAGTTCCCTGCCATTCAAGCCCCCACTGTGTGGAGCCCAACAGTGTTGTCTGTACTGTTTTCTGGGCAAATTCCTCTTCATCCTCTTTTACCATTCATCAAAGCACAGTGCTCATTTATCATCTTGGAATTATAAGCATGTTACTAAAGGTAATTCAGGCAAATGTCAATCTGTTGTTCTCCAGCTTCTTTTTGGTCAAAGAAGATCCTATCTAATATTTCAGATTACTTGCATTTGTATATGTGAAGTGTTTGTGATTTTTTTTTGTATTTATTTCTCTTTAGCTTTTTGTTTCATCATGATTCTTTCACTCTGCTCATTCAATGTTCTCCTTTCCAAAAGGAGCTCTACTTTATGTCTTACTCTCTTTATTCAATAACGTATCAAAGCTGTCCTGAGAATAAAATACTTAAGGTAAAATACTTATGACAAATTCTCTAGAACTACCTCTAGAAGTGCTATCTTCTTCTACTTTTTTTGTTTGTTTGCTTGCTTGTTTTTTGCAGACCATAATCAAACTCAGGACCTTGCACTTGCCAGGCAGGCGCTTATGCCACTGAGCTATACCCCTACCCTAGAAGTGCCATCTTCTTATATTAATGGCTATACCTAGGGCTTGTTGACCCAGACACGTGCGTATTTCTTGGTAAGCTCTCATTCTGAAGTGGGTAGCTATGTCTCCATTGGTGTATGAGTCAACTCTCTGAATAAAGAAATAGAGGCAAAGTGCTTGCACAAAGTTCTATGTTGAGGTAATAGCACAGTCTACACTTAAATTTCTTTACAATTTAAGCAAATACCCTGTCTTCCCTTTTGTATATTTTCTGCTTATAACTCATTTCAAAAATAATATATGCCAGGACTTTTCCACCTACTGGAAGAAAAGAGATAAGACAGTCTCAGCTCTTGAGGAATTTGCTATTGAGGAGAAGCACACAACTGCTTCCATAGGTGATGTATGTGGTGGTGTAGGGAGGGGAAGGCCGATATAGGAGCACATAGCTGGAGAACCATTCTCAAGGCTTAGTTAGAGCAAGAAAATCTTGATCTCAACCTTCTGAGATGAGAAGTTATCTAAGCAAGGAGGAGAAACAGTGTTGCTGAAGAAGGAAGCATGCTAAGGCAAAGGGGTACCACATGTCATATTCTGGAAACCAGAAATATTACAGTTAGCTAGAAAGACAGGTGACAAAAGGAGAGGAATGTCAAGAAATGAGGCAGGACAAGTAGACCAGAGATGCCACACAGGATCCGGTAGCCACACTCAGGAGCTCTATTCCAATCATGAAGGCATCGTCTGAGAACAATTACTCAAATTGAAGTGAATAAAAAATGGATTAAAGGAAAGTAAGGATATAAGAGAGATGAGGTCCCTTTGAATTGAGTGTGTCAGGAACCAATGAGAAAATTGATATGATGAGTAAATCATTAAGTAGAATAAGAATTGGTCATTAATTGCATATGGAGAAGATATGGATGGAGAATAGGCCAAGATGACTCCCTAATTTCTAGTTTAGGTATAAAGGAATGCAGACTATTCCATGAAAAAGGGAACAGAGAATTAGTGAACTTGGGATCCAAGACATAATAAATTAACCTTCACATATGCTGAATGTGGTGAGTCTGTGAACCCTCTGGGTGGAGGCATTCAATAGGTAACTGACTACAAGCATTTGAGGTCAGAGGAAAAGCCTGGCTTAGAAATAGAAATTTCAAAGTCATCAAATTCTAGTTAGAAGGGAGAAATCCTGGCAGTATAGGTATGATAGATGCACACAGTGTTTTTTGTTTTTTGGTACTGGGAATTGAACTCAGGACCTTGTGCTTGCCAGGCAAGACCTTATGCTCCTAAGGTCTTGGTATAAAGGACCTTATGCTCCTATTTCCCCAGCCCTTCACAATGTATATTTAAATAAAAATAATTTAGTACAGTAAAAGAATCCCACATTGCCACAAATACCTCAAAACCTTTCCCCTCATTTCAAATATACTTATCCCAACATCCTTGCCCATTTCTGAAGTGGTTCTGGAAGTCTTCATTCATGTCTTTAGTTAGGTTATCAGGGCTGCTTCAATATCCTGAATCAATTCAAAACTTTTATCTTTCATAGTCATTTTTCTTTGGAGAATTGTCATAAGTCATACAGTGCCAAACCCAGATAATAAGATGGATGTCAACATTAATATTTTTACAAGCCTGCCTCTCCACTGGATGGCCTGCAGCAGCAGCACTCACCATATTTTGGATCACATATCCTCAAGATACCTTCAGAACTGCTTAAGAACAACGGCATAAGTGTGCTCAAAGCAAGAAAGAGGTTTTTGTGGAGGATTATGGCAATTTCTTTTACTATAATAAATTATTTTTATTTAAGCATTAATCATATACTACAATCATGCTTCATATATGAGCCCACCCAAGGCCAATATGTAGCAAGAAATGAGAACTAAGCAAAAAATGCTGGTGAGGCCCAAGCCAAGGAAGTCCTTGAAGGAGACATAAGAGACATATCTGTGTGTATGCAGGATGGCTTAGATAATTGTACTGTGCATTTCTGATGGTCTAAGGAAAGGAGCAGTTAAAGCTTAATTTTTTGGTCTTCTTTTTTCATTTTTTCCATCTTTCTTCTTAATTTCTTGTGACTTTTTTTCTTTCCTTTGCCAATTTTGCATGCATATATCTGGTAATCTGAACAACTAAGTTGAAGACAACACTGCAATACAACAAATATTGTTGAATTTATATAATTGTGTTTGATGAAATTCTGTATCATTTCTAATTTTTAAATTACTCTTTTGTATTCTCTTCAAAATAATAATAATAGTTTTTTTTTTAAAATAAGATAAGTCCACAGAAAATAAAGACTGGGTCCCTCAATCAATGGGAGGGGAATTATATAAGAAAATGGAAGTTGTCATCAATCTCAAATACCAGAGATGTCAGAGGACAATGGAAATAGAATCTGCCCATTGTGCACAACATCCAGGAGATCCTGCAGAGCTTAAATGAGGAATATTTCAGTGCGGTTATAATAGAGATGGAGGTACTTGTTTGTAGTGAGCTAAGGTATAAATGCTACATGAATTTACTCAGCTACTGACTCCTTGAACTACAAAGGAAATTTATTCCTCATAGTTCTGAAAGCTGAGAGTCCAGGATTGAAGTTCTAGCAAGGTAGGCTTCTGAAGTCTCTTCTCTTGCCTGGTAGGTGTCTATCTCATTAAATGCTCACATGAATTCTTCTGCATGTACACAGGGAAGGCAGGACACTGGGGTGGGGGTGGGAAAATGCAAGCTAGCTGGTGTTTGTGTTTGTTTGGTTGGCATTTTGTTGGTGGTGATGGTTTGGGGGGATTTTTTTTTTTTTTTTTGACAGGATCTCACCATGTAGTAGAAGCTGGCCTTGAACTCACTATGTAGTCTGGGCTGACCATGAACTCCTGTGCATCCTCCTATCTCAGCCTCCAGAGTACTGGGATTAGAAGCCTGAACTACAATACGCAGTTAAGTGTCTCTTCTTAAAAGGACATAAATCCCATTGGATCTCTTATGACCTCATCTAACCCTACTAACTCTCAAATAACATCACACTGGGGTTTAAAGCATCAATATTGGAATTTGGCAGGGACAAAACATTCTGCCATGACATGAAGTGGTACATTTTAGATGCTTCATAAATGTTGATTAAATAAGTGCTTATTGAGTGATAATATGGTAGCAAAAGCCACGAGTGAGTCTTTGAATTAGCAGTTACCAGGAGAGATAGGATAGCTTTAGGAACCTGAGAGTAGATTTTGCCTTTGGTTTAAATTAGCCTAGTTCTATGCTAAAAGGCAAAAGATAATAGTAAGGGAAGGAAAGACTGAAGATATGAGTGAAAAAGAAAATTACAGCTAAGCGAGGTCCCTGGAGCAGATAGTAGGCGAGGGGATTGGAATATAGAAATAATTTGGGCCAGGGAGACTTCCCTGTAACTGCAGAAAGAAACCCATAACTGCAGAAAGAAATCTAAGAAGCAGTGTAGAACAGAGGTTTATATAAAGGGAGGCAAGGAGTTGAAGAAGTCCCTGATAATAGCTGTATTTTGTCCAACAAAGAAACATGTTTATTTGTAAAGGATGAAGGAAAACAGAACAAGAGATTAAAATGAACACTGAATATGTTAATAGCCACAGTGTCAGGAAGCAGACCCATAGGAATACAAAGGAGAACTGAGAGGAAATCTGAGTCTGGACCCATGTGACTTCTTTTCTTCCCCTAAACATTTATTTATTTATTTATTTATTTATTTATTTATTTATTGTGTGTGTGTGTGTGTGTGTGTGTGGCCAGCTCAGCCCACCAGGGGGCGGGGCTGGCTGGCATGTGGTGCTGGGGGATTGAACCGCAGTCCCTGTGCTTTGCCAAGCTTGTTCCAAGTAGGTGCTTTAGACCACTGAGCCATCTCGCCAGCCCCCCCATGTGACTTTTCTTCCATCTTTTCTTTGTATTTCAGCTACTGGCATAGAGAAAACAGAGTTGAATTAGTCCAAAGATATCTTCCATCAACCAAATGGGTGTAAGTGAAAAATTATGAATATGGAAATTGAGGGTAATGGGTTTAAAGTGATGAATAGGGACTAAGTTTGGCTTAAAACAAAAGGTGAAAACTCAAGGGATTTAAGAGAGTGATTGAAGTGTTTTAGTGAAAACAGTAAGCTGAGGGGGACAGAAGCAGCAGTGATAGAGTGCAGCATGGAGGTACCCTGCCCTCTGCTGATTAGTACAAATATCCTTTTTGCTGGCTCTAACATGACATCTGTTTGTGGTCAGTTCCAGTCCTTTATGACTCAAATGTGATTTCCAGACAAAATATCTGTACTACCTTCTTGGCATGGGCTCATGTGATCTGATCTGAGTAAAATTATAGGAAGTTACCTAATCCCCTTTTTCAGAGTTCTTAAATTCTGAGAATGCAGCATAATGTGGGAAGTTTGATGCTTTCATTGTGTTTATTCAAAAGTCCTTTCCTTTCTACATCTGGTTTAGAAGGTAATGTAGAAAAAGTGTTACGCCTCATTGATCCTTTCAGGGAATGAGTCACAGTGCAAAATGCTACCAGATAAGAAGTCCCCTAAAGTTGTTATGTTTCTGGGACACTATTGACCATGGAGGAAGAGTTTATTCTTTCCACATTAAATTTGGACATGTTTTGGGGGAAGAACATCTGTAGCCTTCAACTCACCATTCGAATGGAGTACAGAATATGGCCATAGCAATGGGCTATGACACCCACGGGCACCACCAAGCAGCCAAGAAACAAGAAGAGCACAAAGGAGGAATCGTTGGCATCCTTGGATTTCCAGTCCACAGTGCAGCCTAGTCCGTGGATGTCCAGAATGTACCTGTTCCAGCCCAGGAGAGGTGCTCCTGCCCATGCAAGCGAGTACAGCCAGATGTAGGTAATAGCCCTCCAGGCCCAGGAAAAATTGATCACTCTGGCATGGACCACACGAATATAACGTTCATAAGCCAGTACAGTGAGGGTGGTAATGGAAACAATCCCTGTAAGAAGAGAAAGTAGAAAAGTATAGCATACTGCATGGAAAAACTAGACAAAAGTGACGTGCTACATGCTCCACCAGAAATACCACAGGGAGTATCTGAGACCAACAGAGTGCTCAAAAAGTTAAGAGAGCCAAGGGCAATAATCACCCAAACTCCCCAGGAAATTACATTCAAAACGTATTTACCTATAAAAGAAAATATAAGATAGAAAATGCTAAGTGAACTGTAGTAAGACAGCAAAGCCCTAAAATAATGCAGCTATTGAATTAAATTTTCTGCAAAAATAAACTCCAGAGTGAGTCAGTGGAGCAAGTGTCTCCTTTAGTTTTGTCTTCTTTCAGTCATTAAGTCAAAGTGGGTTCTATCAGCTCACACGGACTGGTTATGGTAGAATTATGCTGAGGGCTGCCTCGAGCCACCAGCTAGCATCTGAACAGTGCACACTGCAGATGGCTGACAACAGGAGAAAGGCTTCTGTGCTGCCCCGGTCTTCATTCATACCTCTGTTTTGCAACAATCCACTTCACCAATATTATCCATGTATTTCTCTGTCTTTTCTCAGAAAGTGATTCAGCCAATAAGCACCCATTGAGAATCTTGGTAGTGCCAGGAAGTCTAACGATGACCAGGAGGCAGAGTTCTAGATGTCTGAAGACACTACAGATGTGCAAATAACCACCACACTTTGGAGGGGCCAATGCTACCATGGTGCCATCATGAACTAGAGTCTCAGAGAAGAAAACACTGGAGGACAGGGCAGAAGTTTACCACAGGAAGAAAGAGCAATTAGGGGTCAGGAATGTGGCAGTGTGGAAGTATAGCAAAGGTCTATGAACAATCAGAAAGTGCAGAGGTGCCCCAGATTAGAGGACAGGGACAGAAAGACTTAGGTGGGTCCGATGAAGCCACACTGAGAAATGTTCTCCATTTCTAGGTAAGGTATTTTATTTCTTCCTTTTATTTTTAAAACCTTTTCCTATATGAAATAATTGATTATATTTTCTATTACTCTTTTGTCCTATTTAAGCACAAAGCAACACAGTTAAGTTCTTGTTTTGTTCTTCATTTTTCTTCTGTGGTTACACTCATTCTAGCAGTAACATGGAACAAAAACCAGTCTTGGATCCTGGAAAACACCTTGAGCCCACACCACAGTTCAGGCAGGACACTAAGACCACAGCAAAGGTAGCAGTAAATGCATCAGTAGTACACTGGGGTTCCAGAGATACTCAGCTATTAGTCTCTACAGAATCCATCTGCTTATTGAATGCAAGGAGTGAATGGAGGAGTTAAAGATAACCTGGAGATCTCTAACCCACCTAAGCAGCAGGGATTACATTAGCCAAGACAAAAACCAAGCAGGTGTATGAGCAGATATGGGGATGAAAATGAAATTGTGAGCTGCCTAGGACACAGCAGCATAACAGCTTTTTGAATGAATAGGTGAAAACAGTTGAAGAAAAGTAGTTCTGATAGCAAATAGAAAGACTGATCTGGTTGGAGTGAGGGTTGGTGGCATTACACATAGCTAAATTAGGTAAAAATATTATAGGCAGTCAGACACAGGGCTAAGCCCTTGAAAGAGTCAAAACAAAAGATAAAGATACATTACCACTCTGGCCAGAGATTCATCTGTTAGAGGCCAAGCCTTAAGATAAAAAAAAAAAAAAAAAGATCAGGCCTATATACCTCCCCAGGGGCTAAGTGGTAACACCCCAGTCCAATAAAGTCTAGATAGATTTCAGTCACATTGTTGGGTGACCAAGACTCTTGGATCCATCCCATCCTAAAAAGTTATTGCTTCTTTCCATGTATCCTTGCTATGTGACCTGCCTCCCCATTAGATCAATATTAACCTAAGCGGCTAGACTTATAAACTTATTGATCATAGTTTTTCCCACCCTAGACCTAACATGTGATTTAGCACCCACCTTGTGATTTTCCTCTAGAAAGTGAGGAAAGAGCATGAAACTAACGCAGGCCCCCTCCTGTCTCTCAGGGAAGCTGTCTCTTCCTCAGTAAAGTTTCCTACTTTTAGCCTCTATTGTTCTGTAAAATTTATTCAATTTAGGGGAACAAAAACTCAGTATACTGCACATCCAGCAGGTTGAGAGCTACATTTATTTTGTCTATATAATCTACAGGGCCTGTATCAGTAGGGCTGAGGGTAATTGTTAAGAAGTCTGGGAGCAAGGCACAGCTGCCTACTAAGTAGCTGTGTAACTTCCAGAAAATCCTCTCCTCACACCTTGGTCTTTGTTTTCATAAAACTGAAGATTCAGTCACACTACAAAATTCCATTATTATTAATATTCACTGAAATGTGTGAATATTTACTAAATACTTCAATGACCAGAAGGTGAGGTTTTGAATACAGTATAAGGAAATAGTTCAGGAAGTAGTGATATGGTAGCAAATAATAAGTTTAAGTTCAAATTATAAGCAATTAGGAGGACAAAAAGTATCAAATTAGATATCTATCTTCAGAAATCTAATTTTATTTCATTAAATTATCTAAAGAGTAATATCCTTTAACTAATTATATTCCTAAAAGAAAACCTAGACATTTATGACATAATAATGTGATTCTAGTGAAATATTGACTTTAGGGCTGGTGAGATGGCTCAGTGGTCTAAAGCACCTACTTAGAACAAGCTTAACAAAAGCAAAGGGACCACAGTTCGATCCCCCAGCACCACATGCCAGCCAGCCCTGCCCCCTGGTGGGCTGAGCTGGCCACACACACACACACACACACACACACACACACACATAAATAAATAAAATTAAAAAAAAAAGAAATATTGATTTTATTTAGTTTATAAACTTTTCTAGTAAATAAATTGGGTTTTTTTTTGGTGCATGTGTGGCAGTGGGAGAGAAAGTTTCTCTGTAATTCAGGCCGGCCTTAAACTATAGAGTGAGGGGCATATGCCCGTAATCCCAACACTTGGGAGGCAGAGGCAGGAAGATCGCCATAAGGCCATCCCAGGCTAGCAAGTCCAAGGCCAGTTTGGAATCTGTCTCAAAAAAATATGTATATATATCTTTAGATTTTAGTTAATTTGTATTGAACATGATTTACTCCTTCACAGCCAAGAAAACTTAGTGTAAATAATGGCATGGTTTTAAATATTCCAACATGCCTTAAAGTTGAATAACTGAGTTTTCAGGGCTAAAGCAATTAGCTGATATAACTTGATATAAGCATATGATTATGTCCATATTCATTCATTATTAATGTTTCTTGCTTATCTACATGTGTCAATCATTATGCTAGAAAAGTTATAAGTTAAGGTTTATTAAAGTTCTTCATGAAACTTAAAGCCAAATGGATAAGATACTGTAGATTTTAAAAATAAAGCAGGTAAACTGTGAAGTACCATGATGGAAAAATAAAGCATATATGGAGTAGCAGGGAAGAAGGCATGTGGAAGAACACTAAAGCACGGTGAGGGCGGAAGCAACGAAGAATAAAAGCCCTCCACTCTGTGATACATCGAGGTTGGGCAGGGCAGTACATTTTTCCATCTGATCATTTATGTCAAAAAGATTTTGAACCTATTAGTATAGTTTTGACCATGCCTTGGCTTAGCAAGCACAGTAAGTGTCTGGTGCCTGATTTTGGTCACCAGTGTCAGTCCTGTGGCTGTCTAGTGCAGGCTTAGGGACGGCATTCCTTGCATTTCTTGGCCCCACTCATGCGGTAGGGATGCAAGAGGGTTGCAGCTGTAGTGGACTGAATCCACTTCGTGGGTGATCCATTAGAAATTATCTTAGGATCATTGCCTTAACCATCTTGTGTATATAAATGTATGACTTTACCCCTGTCATGTTTCCTAGCTTTTCTCCTTGCTCTCTCTTTGTATAGGACATCATGTCTGCATCTTGTACTATGAATAACCACTATGAAAACAACAATATGCAATGTATTAATTATTGAAACTTTCCTAATTGGTTTTAAAACTCTCATTGCTATTCGTTTCTCAATAAAATTATCAAAACAAAAAGAAAAAAGAAGAGAAAAAAAGAAATTATCTTAAATCATATCTTCCTTAAAAGCATAAAACAGTTCCTCTTCGCCCATGGACACTTTATTTGCCAATTAATTCTGTTGTAGTCAAAATTATTTGTTGCATTGTGTGTAACTTCCAGAACATAATCCAGGAAGATGAGAGTGAAGACTATTTTACAACTGTTTTACATGTATATTTGAGCAGATGTTAAGCCTAATTATAAGATGTGGTTGAAATAAATGGCTAATATTTAAATATTTATTACAGTGAAAGACACATGGCCATAAATTCCCTCCAAATACTCCCTTTCCCTTTAAACATGCATTCCATGGTTTCCCACTTTCTGAAGCAGTTCTGGAAGTCCTCTGTCATGTCATTAGGAGATACCCTTAAAAACTTGGGTGAGTGTTGCTGCTGTCATCCAAAGGAAAGGCAGTCCTGTAAAAGCATTACCATGTGTCCTCACAGATCTGGCACCACAAGACTTCGGGCTCTTCTCCAAAGTCAAAATGACCATGAAAGCAATGTCCATGAATTGATTCAGGACATAGAGGCTGCCACCAAGTCCAACTAGAGACACAAACAGGACTTTCAGAACCACCTTAAAAAGTGGCAGGAAAAAAAAAAAGATTAAAAAAGTGGCAAGAAATAGCATGAGAGTGTTTGAAAAGGAGAATATTTTAATAAATACTAATGGTACCATTGCTTTTATTGTAATAAACTTTTCAAGAATTTAAACATTTACTATCCTTTTGATCATAACTCCTATTGAATACAGTACAACTGTTTTCCTTAATCCTACTGAAAGCAAATGTAAAGCAACAGCTGAAACTGAAACTGAGTATTAGTAATGCATCAGGCTGTGTGATATCTACAGAGTTATTTCTTTCATTATGTGGTAAAACCATGTTTTGAGAACCAGTGCTAATTCAAATTACAATTTTGGATTAGGATTTTGTCTTTATACCACCTTCAGTCAGC